ATGTTCACTCATTTAAAGTTCATGCAGTCCTGTCCCTTGTTTTGCTGTTTTTCAGACAGGGTCTCGCTCTGTCGTCCAGGTTGGGGTGCAGTGGTGGGATCACAGCTCCCCGCAGCCTGGGTCTCCTGGGCTCAAGCCATCCTCCCTCCTCAGCCTGCTGAGTTTCTGTGACACAGGTGTGCACCAGCACACCAGGCTAATTTGTGTGTGTGTGTGTGTGTGTGATTTTTGTAGAGACAAGGTCTCACTACATTGTCCATGCTGGTCTTGAACTCCTAACCTCCAGTGGTCCTCCCATCTAGGCCTCCCGAAGGACTTCAGGCGTGAGCCACTGCACAGCCTCGTTGTTGCTTTTTTGTTGTTTGTTTTTGTATCGTCAGAGCTGTACAACTACCACCAGCAGCTAATACAAGAACATTTTCTTCTTTCTTTAAGACTAGGCCTTGCTCTGTCTCCCAGAACGGAGTACAATTGTGGTGCATGGCAATCTCTGCCTCCCCGACCCGGCGACCCTCCCACATCAGCCTCCCCAACTCGGCGATCCTCCCACATCAGCCTCCCCGACCCGGCGACCCTCCCACATCAGCCTCCCCAACTCGGCGATCCTCCCACATCAGCCTCCCCGACTCCGTGATCCTCCCACATCAGCCTCCCTGACCCGGCGATCCTCCTACATCAGCCTCCTCGACCCGGCGACCCTCCCACATCAGCCTCCCCGACCCGGCGACCCTCCCACATCAGCCTCCCCAACTCCGTGATCCTCCCACATCAGCCTCCCCGACTCCGGCGATCCTCCCACATCAGCCTCCCCGACTCCGGCGATCCTCCCACATCAGCCTCCCCGACTCGGCGATCCTCCCACATCAGCCTCCCCGACTCGGCGATCCTCCCACATCAGCCTCCCCGACTCCGTGATCCTCCCACATCAGCCTCCCCGACTCGGCGATCCTCCCACATCAGCCTCCCTGACTCCGGCGACCCTCCCACATCAGTCTCCTGACTCGGCGATCCTCCCACATCAGCCTCCCTGACTCCGGCGATCCTCCCACATCAGCCTCCCCGACCCGGTGACCCTCCCACATCAGTCTCCTGACTCGGCGATCCTCCCACATCAGCCTCCCTGACTCCGGCGATCCTCCCACATCAGCCTCCCTGACCCGGCGACCCTCCCACATCAGTCTCCTGACCCGGCGATCCTCCCACATCAGCCTCCCTGACTCCGGCGATCCTCCCACATCAGCCTCCCCGACCCGGCGACCCTCCCACATCAGTCTCCTGACTTGGCGATCCTCCCACATCAGCCTCCCTGACTCCGGCGATCCTCCCACATCAGCCTCCCCGACTCGGTGATCCTGCCACATCAGCCTCCCTGACCCGGCGACCCTCCCACATCAGTCTCCTGACCCAGCGATCCTCCCACATCAGCCTCCCTGACCCGGCGACCCTCCCACATCAGCCTCCCTGACTCGGCGACCCTCCCACATCAGCCTCCCTGACTCGGCGACCCTCCCACATCAGCCTCCCTGACTCGGCGACCCTCCCACATCAGCCTCCCTGACTCGGCGACCCTCCCACATCAGCCTCCCTGACTCTGGCAATCCTCCCACATCAGCCTCCCTGACTCGGCGACCCTCCCACATCAGCCTCCCTGACTCCGCGACCCTCCCACATCAGCCTCCCTGACCCGGCGACCCTCCCACATCAGCCTCCCCGACCCGGCGATCCTCCCACATCAGCCTCCCTGACCCGGCGACCCTCCCACATCAGCCTCCCTGACCCGGCGACCCTCCCACATCAGCCTCCCAGTAGCTGGGACTACCGGAGGGCACCACCATGCCCAGCTGATGAGAACATTTTCATCACCCTGGAAATAAACCCTAGACTCACACGCAGTCACTTCCCATTCCTTTCTCACCCCACACCCCCAAACCCCCAAACCCTGGCAACTGCTGATCCACTTTCTGTGTCTAAGATTCTTCTACTGGGAGCATTCCACGGGTGACCCGTTCTAATCCACATCGTCTTCACATACACTCCTTCACCTGACTGCCCTGTGAGGCTGACAGGGCAACGCTACCTCTAGGAATAGGAGAGGGCCAGGGCTCAGAAAGGCAGAGTAACTTTCCCAAGGCCACCTCCCAGGGAAGAGGGAGAGCCTGTCTTCAGACTTGGGTCTTCTTGCTACACACCCAAGGGCAAACGGTTCGTGTTTCAAGCTGGGAATGGCTGGTTGGAAAAGGAGCAGATGTGCGGGCCTTCCTGGGCTCTGTGGCGTGACAGAGCTACCTGGCAGCACCGCCTCACGGAGGCTGGAGGGAGGCCCGTGGAGGAGGCACACCAGCCAGCCAGGGCACAGGCTCTGCGGCTGAAGTACTTCCCGAGCCTGGACGGCAGATCTGCCACCCCACTTAGTGCCCTGCCCTAGGCATCAGGACTGGTATGGAGTTGAGACTCCTTTGTCTTTGCTTGTGATGGACCATGTTACCAGGCCCTACTGGAGGGAGCATGCCTGCCTGAGGGAGCACTGCAGCCCCAGGGAACACTCCTGTCCGGGATTCTTCCTCACTGTGAGGCTGCCCTAGTCCTCTCCAGGCGGATGGTCCGGTCCAGGGCTGCTCCCTCCACCTGTGCCCCACAGTCATAGGCAGAGGTATTAACACACTGCTGCTCCACCTCCAGAGAGCCCTCCTGACTTGTCTGGCTGGGAGAGGAGCTGTCCACACCCTGACGACCCTGCGGCAAGTCCAAAACCTCCTGGCTGGTGAAGATGGCAAACCACCGTTAAAGAGGGTCAGGTGTGCAGGTGCCTGAACTGGCTGTGCCCACACAGACCCGGACGGTGCCTGTGCCCAGGCTACAGGGCTCCACCAGGGTCGGACGATGGGTGGTGTAGGCAAGGAGACAGTATGGCATGAGTGGGGGCAGAGCTGGAAAGGATTGCATGCTGGGAGAGCTGCTCTTCTCAGGCAACATGCCAGTGAGGACACCACATGAGGATCGTCTGATGGCGGCACAGGCTGGAGAAGCCCCGGTGGGCCTGGCTGGCTGGCTGCGGGCAGATGGCACCCACTCAACAGGCGTCCTCCATCGTGCCCATGGGGGGTGCAGCCACTTGGCTGGTACCCAGCCACTTGATGGCCTCAGTTGAGACCACTGCTAGACAGTGGCTGAGTGATACAATGCCCCCCCCTCCTGTGCCAGACTCTGCCCCTCTCATCCGCCCTGGCAGCTGGAGGTCACCTTCCCTGGGCTCTGTGGGACCCAGCACACTGCAGACCCTCCTATCTGTCCCAGCTGTGCCTCCACTGCCAGGCCCCGCCCTGTCACACCAAGGTCAATGAGCCAGGATTGTGGTCTTCAGAGATGAAAGGTGATCGCTTATTTATTTTTTTGGTGGAGCTGGCACCCCAAAAGTACTCCATGAGCAGAGATACCATTGAACACTCTCCAGAGACTGCCTGCGCCCCACCCTTCACAATGGATGTTCCAGGTCAGGGCGTCCAGAAACCCAGCACCTGCTCTCTGTAGCTGCCTCGCGCCCAGGGATGCCCAGCAGTGCTGAGGATGGTGCCCTGCACACCAGCTCTTGGGGCATGGGATCAAGGAGCCTGGGGAAGAGGCCCAGGAGTCAAGACAGACCTGAAAAGCCACAGGACACGGTTTGTGCCTGGCGAGTTGAGTGTTCCCTCCCCAGACCGTAGGGGCTACACGCTCACGTTTTGTCGAGTTTTACCCTGATTTTACTGGCTCTGTAAGGGCTAATTTAACAATCCCTCTGTCTGATTCTCAGACAATAAGAGCAATTCTGTGGGTGACGGGGCCATCGCTTGGCTGCAGACAGATTTCAGCTTTTGCCTGGCACAGTTCACTTCCGCTGGGTCATTCCCAGCCCCACCGCCTGCCACTGTGTGCCGGGCACAGGTACACTGGAGGTGCTGGCAAATCAGAAGACTCAAACTTACACCGAAAGCTCTCAGAAACGGAGCCGCTTTCAGAAGCACCCCACACCCTCGTGCACCGTGGGGAGGCCACTGCCTGGGCCACTCAGTGGCTGCAGGCCTCAGCCGTCCACGCCCTGCCGCAGAGCAGGACAGCGCCAGGAGGCAGCCCTGCAGGCTGCAGGGGAGTGGGCTGAGCCCTGGGGAGGTGGCTGTGGCGTGGCAGCTGGAACACAGTTTGAGGGCAGTAGAACAGCACACGTGTCACGCCCCGTCACAGGCTTGCTCTCCAGGAGACCAACTGCAGGGGCCCAGGCAGGCTACTCAGCAACTCCGTCCTGGCAATGCCTAATTCTCTTCCACGTTGCCCCCATGCCACTGACCACACACACACTCCGATTATTATGGAAATTTCCAGGCACGAAGGTGGCCTCTGCTACTCCCAATCATGCGGCTTCAGCAAGCAGCAGCACCGGGCCAGGCCTGAGCCCTGATCCACCTGTCTTTCCGTTCGGAGCAGGAAGGGGCTGCCTATTAGACACACTCAAGGGTATGCTTATTTGTTGTAACTGTCTCTCTTCCCCCCTAACTAGAATGAAATAAACACAAAGGCAGGAACTTCTGTTTATTCCGTTTACCACGTTACATCCGGAGACCTGAACGGCCCAGCACGTGGTAGGCGTCAATAGATACTTGTTGAGTGACGGGTGGAAGCATGCATCCATGATATTCCACCCGGCCCACTCCCGCTTCCATGTAATGAGGCCACGTGTGGACAGCTACACGTGCCTGGCCACACCCATCACCTTCCCTGGGCCTGCTAGAGGGAGGAAAAGCGGGACCTCCTCCTCACAGATAGCAGCAGCAAGCTTCTACTGACAGCAGGCTCTTACCCACCAGTTCCAAAAGCAGCCAGGAAGGCTCAGGCGCTGGACAACGTTCCCAAACAGCTAGGCCATGTGGCAGAGTGTTCAATGCGTGCTTCGTAAGTGAGCGTGTGTACACACCTGTCTATACGGTCGCCAAACAGGAGGGTGTGCGGGGCCGACGCGCGATACTCACATGCAGCCGCGAAACCGAGTCAGGTCGTTGTTTGGCTTCTCGCATTCGATCACGCTGGTGAACGTCAAAGGATTGAACTCGGAGACCTGAAATAACAGCACAGAGAGAGACATCAGAGAAACCGGGCTCGGGCGATCCCGTCCTGAAAGGCGCTTGTTTTTCTGTCTCACGTCCACGGCAGGCAGATACCACGGGGAAGAACTCTGCGTAAGAATCTCCGTGGAAAGACAAGGCACCCACCTTCTCCGTTTTATAATAAATGACAGTTAATTGCTTTATGACCAGAGCTGGCTGCCGGCTAGTAAGGGAGCGGAAATGACCGCAGCCCTGTTGCTAAATGAGAGAACAGGAGAGAAAGCGGAGGCCACCAGTGAAGGGACAGAGGGATGAGTCTTTCAAGACACGCGGCACTTGCCCGTTTCTACACGGACTTAGAGAAGCAAATTCCACCTGGAAAACAGGAACTCATAATAAACTCCTATTTTTAATGTACACTACGCGATCTTCATGGATCTTTGAGGAAAAAGACTTAAACAGCCAACGTGTGAACTGACAATTTCTTAAGCATTCTGCTCAATTAAAAAGAAAGCCTGACTGCTCACCACAAAAATGTCTTTAGAACCTTTCCACTGATGGGCATCACGCAGCCTGGCTCATACGGAAGGCTTAGGAGCGGCGGGAGGGAGGAAGAAGGGAAATAGGGAAACCCTTTAGTATAAATGAGACAATTCCTGGATTTCTTTCTATCAGCCCTCTGGCCGGGCCTGCCATTCTACTTAATGCGTCATGTGCCATAACACGGTAAAACATGGAAGTGTTTTTGTTCACACACACAGAAAGTGAAGGTGGTTAAAAGTCACAGAAATGGCATAAACACTGTTGACACCACCCCAGGTAACTAACTCTGCCACATGCACACACTTCCCTGCACCAAATATAGCCACAAAGGTAATTACTCAACACTCGGTTCCTACCACTTCCCAGCATAAAGTGTACATTAAAAGGAGGACATGCTAGATAATCATAGCTCGATTCAATAACTGAAATTGAAATGCTATTTTAAAAGACTCTTCTCGAAGTTTAATTAGCCATCAGTCTCTCTTCTCCTGGGACTGAAATGGCCTCTCACTCTATTTCCAGAGTGAGGCTCTGTTTCAAGGAGTCTTGTGTTTATTTAAAGCCCGTGGATTCTCTTGAAGCCAGTGGATGGCTTTTTCCAGGGCAGACATTTGCAGATACAAAGTACAGGATGGCCATGAAGGGAGTGAGTCCCAGAGAACACCAGGATTATTCTTGGCAGACGATGAGGGTCAGACTTAAAATATTCTGTCTCTGTTTATTATTCTTTCTCTCTAAGAAAAATGTCATGGGCATGGCTCAGGAACAGTAGGACATGCTGTCCCTGGGACTTCAGAGTTGTGTCTGAATGTTCTACCGACAATCCCGTGCCCTGGGGATTGTGCGCAGGGCAGGTCCCCCCACGGACGCCTGGCTTCCTCTGCTTCCTCCCGGGACTGGGGAGGATTTGGAGGAGTTTTAGGATCGGAGGGATCTGTAGAGATGGGTATGGGCTGAACAGAGTCCCCTCATCTACTCGTATGTTGACATCCTGACCACACGCAGCTCAGAATATGCCCTTACTGGGGGACGAGGCCTTTAAAGAGGTAACTACATTAACATGAGGTCATCGCCTGGACCCTGATCCTGCAAGACTGAAGGCCTCAGACAAAGAGAAAATCAGGACCCAGAGACACACAGAGGGAAGATCATGCATGACACAGGGGGAAGCCAAGAAGACAGGCCTCAAAAGAAGCCAGCTGCTGACCCCTTCATCCTGACATCCAGCTTCCAGACCTGTGGGAAAATGAACTTCCACTGCTGAAGCAGCCTTGAGTTCGGCCTTTGAAAGGCATTTCATGTCCAGAGCATACCTTCTGGATGAGGAAAACACATGGGTCATGTCTACCAACAGGCAATCAGGCAACACTCCTCATTAGGAAGAAATATATGGACTCACCCTCCATCCCCTCATCTCTACCCCTGCCTCGCTCCATGCCAGCTTTGCGGTCACGCCTGAGAGATATCCACCAGTCAGACGTTTGTCAACCTGCCCCCCGAGCACAGACAGAGGTAGAGGCCCCCGATCCACCCTTCTGCTCTGAGCACACAAACTCCATTCTTCTTAAAAGGGAGATATCCCAAGGCAGTCAGATCACAAGGTCAGGAGTTCGAGACCATCCTGACTAACATGGTGAAACCCGTCTCTACTAAAAAGACAAAAAATTAGTTGGGCACGGTAGCACGGGCCTGTAATCCCAGCTACTCAGGAGGCTGAGGCAGAATAATTGCTTGAACCCGGGAGGCGAGGTTTGCAGTGAGCCAAGATTGCGCCATTGCATTCCAGCCTGGGAGACAGAGCTAGACTCCCTCTCAAAAAAAAAAAAAAAAAGGTAGATATCCAACTGGGGAGGAGGAAGGAGTTCTAGGGATGGATGGTCGTGACGGCTGCACAATAGTGTGAATTAACTTAAGGCCACTGAGCTGTACACTCACAAATGACCGCAATGCCAACGTCATGTTTTGCATATTTTGCCGTGATAAGAAATTTCACTATGGCCGTGTCACCCTGAATGCATCCAGTCTTGTCTGATCTTGGAAGCAAAGCACGGCCAGTACTTAGATGGGAGACAGAATTTAAACATTTTTAAGCAGATATAAACAAACGCTGAGAATTGACTGGGAAGAAATGAAATCATCAAGTTGAACATAGATGAGAAATCCAGGACCTTTCAGTACGCGTACAGAAAGTCTCCCTTGCCGGTAATTCCTGAGGGCACCGCCATTCTGTCAACACCATCGACATCATTAGAGTCTTGGGGGCCTTGCTAAATGCCAGGCACTGTGCCTGGTGCCCTCCTACTACCCTACAACCCTGCTAGAAAGTCAGCTTTTGTACCACCCTCAACTTAGGATCTTTAAGTGCCATGCCCAAGGTTGCAGTGGCCTTGGAGTGACTGACTGGAGCTTCCTTGGCCTCTGACAGATCAGCTCAGTCATCAACCAAACCCACAGAGACAATCTGGCATTAATGGGAAAAGACTATGCAAATGAGCCAGAAAGTATGTAACAGATTCTATAGAAACATCCCCCAAAAATTAAATTGCTTTTTATTTTTTTAAATTTGAGACGGAGTTTTGCTCCTGTCACCCAGGCTGGAGTGCAGTGGCATGATCTCAGCTCACTGTAACCTCCACCTCCTGAGTTCAAGTGATTCTCCTGCCTCAGCCTCCCGAGTAGCTGGGACTACAGGCACCCACCATAACACTCGCTAATTTTTGTATTTTTAGGAGAGGCAGGGTTTTGCCATGTTGGCCAGGCTGCTCTCAAACTCCTGACCTTGGGTGATCCACCCACCTCAGCCTCCCAAAGTGCTAGGATTATAGGTGTGAGCCACCACACCCGACCTACATTGCTTTTTAAAGTTCGAAGTTTCCAAAATTTAAGTTTTAATGCTTTGAAAACATGCCTCAGTTCACTGCACCCTGATCTGATCATAGATACTCTCTTCCCATCTTCAGCAAAGACCGTGGATGTGGGCTCAGCAGAGCCTACCCAAAACCAAATAATCAGGAGCCTGGGGACCTGGTGCTAGTTCTTCTGATAAACACGAGACTTCCGGGAAGTGAAAAGAGCACATTTGGACCCGATCTCCAAGGCCTCTGCAGTCCTGTAGGTCCACAATTCTGTAGGATGCAGAGGCGGCTCCCGTTCACCCCTGTGCTTCAGACAACAGGCTCACTGCTGCAGAAGCAGCGTCACCTCCAGAGTGCTGCCCACACATGCCAGCTTCAAGCTGAAGCACTGCCCTCCACAGCTCTGCCACAGCACCCCAGCATCTCGGACAAAAGGAAGCCGACAACGCGTAGGTGCACCTGCGGCAGAGCAGCATGCGCGAATAAATATCTCACTGGCCAGAAAGAAAGTGCTCATAGCTTCTGTCATCCTACAAATATTTCTCAAGTTTCTTTGGGCAAAGTGAAATGCCTTTACTAGGTGGAAAGAAAGAGGCAGAACAGTGTGCAACAGAGAGCCCTCCAGCTCTGCCCTTGAACTTGTGTTTCTAGAAACCGCAGCAGCAGGTACTCCAGGGACACCCAGAGCCCCGTGGCGTGCTTCCGCTTCCTCCCGATGCCTGGCACCTCCTCCAGGTAGAACAGCTGTGTCCCCTCTTCAACCATACGGGGAAGGCGTGCGTCTAATTCAGCAGTGCCCAGATTGCCACTTGAATGAATGCTCTGATTCACAGGAGCGATTCTGTTACCAACCCTGTATTTCACATTTGCATTAAGTGAATTACTACTAAGTACTCAACAAAAGCAAATACAAATGTCTTCCCATCTTGAAACAGAAGCAGTGATATTGGAAAGGGCATTTATAGTCCATTAAAGAGGATACTGTTACTTTTTTTTTCCATCATAAAAAAAAGTGAAGACGTTCCCATTGCTTCAGCCATGGCTGAACACGCAGCACAGGTGCACGCTGGAGTCATCTGCAGCTCGGCTGCCAGCAGGGACCCTGCCAGCTGCTGGAAATCTCCGAGTGAGGCCACCTGTCTGGGTCTCTGGATGATGCGTGCAGAGAGAAGCCTGCTGACAGAACAGAGCACAAGGGTGGCACCTGCCAGCTAGGCAGGGCCACCACCTGCATCAGCAAGAAGACGTGGAAAACACACACGCTCCCGTCCTCTGCATCGGACCCCGTTCTGAAAACGCCCTTGGCATCACCTGTCACGATATTCCTAGGTCACAAGGAGGTTGAGGTCCCCTTGGCATCACCTGTCACGATATACCTAGGCCACAAGGAGGTTGAGGTCCCCCTTGGCATCACCTGTCATGATATTCCTAGGTCACAAGGAGGTTGAGGTCCCCTTGGCATCACCTGTCACAATATCCCTAGGCCACAAGGAGGTTGAGGTCCCCCTTGGCATCACCTGTCACGATATTCCTAGGTCACAAGGAGGTTGAGGTCCCCTTGGCATCACCTGTCACGATATCCCTAGGCCACAAGGAGGTTGAGGTCCCCCTTG